AGCACTTCGAGCTTTCGCTATGCGGTTCGTGATCTCGTCTTCGATCCCAAGGGCGCTGATACAACTTCCCAGGTAATTGAATTTCTGAACGACTTCTAGCTGATCCTCACCAACGGTCAGCACAGGGGGCGAACCCTGCCAATCCTGGAGGAACGCTTTGCACTTCGGTGGTGCAAAGCAAAGCCCGAAGCGACTGACAGTCAGTGCTAATCTGTCCAGCGCGGCTTGACACGTCTGGGAGCTGTCACAGATGAGGGCAATGTCGTCTGCATACTCCAAGTCAAGAAGTCGTTCTCCTGGGAGTAGCTCCACACCTTCCAAGTCATGTCCTGTAAATGCAATCTCCATGACTTCGTCAATAGCGAAGTTGAATAGGAAAGGTGACAGCGCGCATCCTTGTCTCACACCGCTGGAGATATTGAAGGGTGGCGACAGCCTGCTGTAAGCCCTTACTCTGCCCGTGCTACGCGCATATAATGCTTGGATAATATTTACATATTTCTCGGGCACACCTTTCCTGAGTAGACAATTCCAAAGGGCACATCGATCAACCGAATCGAAGGCCCCTTTGATATCGAGGAACACGACTACGGTGGGCCGCCAATATGTGTGACGGTGCTCCAACAACTGACGCAAGGTGAAGATGTGGGCGATGCAGCCACGACCCCGACGAAACCCGGCTTGCTCCTCACGAATCTGGCTTTCACGAGCGCCAGTCAGTCTGTGGAGAATTATGGACGCGAGTAATTTGGAGGCGATGGAGATCAGACTGATTCCTCTATGGTTGCCGCATTCCGAGCGCGAGCCGCCTTTGAAGATGGGAACAATAACGGAGCGGCTCCAGTCGGTTGGGACGGTTTCCTGCTCCCACAGTTTCACTAGTAATTCATGTAAAGCATCAACAAGAGCAGAGCCTCCAAATTTGAAGAGGGCTGGAGGAAGAACATCTGGTCTTGCGGCTTTGTTCAACTTCAACAGCCCGATATCACTTTTGCCTCCTGAGCGAGATGGTGGATCCAAAGGGACAGCCCACGGAGCGGGGCGATCAGTGACCGGCGAATCGAACAATTCTTGCCGATTAAATTGCTTTTCAAAATGCTCAGCCCAACGCTCCTTACGTTTTGACAAATTGTGGATGGGCTGTCCACTCTGGTCACGTATAGTTTCACTAACACCAGGTCTCCTGCTGCCCGTTTCCCGTATCAGACGGAATAACTTACGATGGTTGCCAAGGGCAGTGGCCACTTCCATCTCTGACGCACGATGAAACCACCAAGATTCGCGGTCTCTCTTCAGGTTAGCACGGAGTTTTGCCCGGAGCTCTTTGCGAGTTTCATTGTGCTCGCTTCTAGCCGGGATTTGCCGGCGAGCATCTATAAGTTCCAGAGACTGCGAAGAGACCCAATGTCCATGTTGTCTATTAGACATACCACATGAGGATTTGCCTGCTGCTAGTAAGGTCTGGCGAACATGTGACCAGTGCCCATCAATTGTCTCCTGTGAGCGCTTGCTCAACTCGCATGTTAGCGTACTTCGATACGCATTCAGAACAGCTGGTTTTGTCAGTTGGCTGGTGTCAATGCGCTCAAAAAGTCGTCGTGGGCGTCCGCCAAAACGCATCCGCATGTCAGCACATACAAGTGCATGATCGGTGTCCACACATGTGCTCCAAATCGAGCGACAATTCTGGATGCAGCCTCTCCAGCGGTAACTGATAGCAATGTGATCGATCTGCGTGCAAGGCTGGTTCGAGGTTGGTGGGCGCCAAGTCACCCTTCGGCGGGTGCTGTGTCGGAAATTAGTGCTCGCAAGAAATAAGCGAGCATCTTCACACAAATGAAGTAACCGCTCACCGTTATCATTACGGGAGCCTACACCGTGTTGACCGCCCAGATGCAGTTCATCAGTGGACAACTTTCCAACTTGTGCGTTCATATCCCCCGCCAGCACAACAGTGTCCGTGCTTCTTCTGTGGCGAAGGAGCTCGTTCAGTTGGCGGTAGAAGTCGTTCTTTACCGAATCATCGCTACAGTTTGTGGGCGCATACGCAGCGATGATGAATAGACATCTATTAGTCCCGCGCGACTTCGAAGCTTTAAACGAGCCAGCCAATCGGACCGCACACATCCGGCTACTGATTGGAATCCAATCAACCAGAGCAGCTTCAGCCCGGGGACTCAGGGCAATACCAACACCGGCTTGGCCGGTGCTCGAAGCTGCATCGTCACCGGATAGGCGCAAGGAGAAAATACTCCTTGCGTCCCCTGAAAGGGATCGCAGAGTGAGCACAGTGCTCGAGTCTTGCAGGCGAGTCTCTGATAAGCAGCAGATATCGATCGAGAGGGTCTCCAATGTTCGGGCAAGTGCTGCCTGTTGACCGATTTGTAGCAGTGTGCGTACAATGAGGCACGCCAATCTGAAGGAGGATCGAGGGCTCCAAATGGAAGCCGATGAACTGGAATTGACCGCTTGGTCTTATATGGGCTTGCCGACAGGAGAGGAGTGACGCTCCGCGTTCACGTGTGAGTTGAAATGAGAAGGTAAATGCCTAGCAAAGCATGTTGGGGGAGGGCCAAGAATCGGGGGGTTGAAAACTGGGGGGACATAAGTGAAGTTGGAATGGGACGGTAAGAGTGAAAAAGCGGAAGAGGGGGCATAAGAAGACGGGAAGGCTTGAGCAGTAGCATCCAAACCCTTATCCACGCTGCTCGATGCAGCAGATAGGGCACCGTTTATTATCCTCTGCGGTGGCCAGAGCATCAAGAAATTGTTTGAAGGAAAATTCATAGTATTGCGTGGGCAGGATACTGTCAGGTTGCCCAGGCCTAGACAGGAGAACGATTAGGGTTCTCAACCAAAGCCTTTGGTTCAAAAACCTGACCGCAAGGCAGCGGGTTTGGCGTTGGGCTACAAGGAGTCCATTTTAAGGAATAAGGTGCCACCCTCATTCCAACCCCCAACCTGGAGGACCAGGAGGCTGAGTTTGTCTGGCCTCTAACCATTGACCAATCTGGTATGAGTGACTCTGAAGGTGCAAAAGCACCACCCAGCGTAGCTCAATGGATCGCTGAGGCACACAAACCATCGCACCACGGTAAGGTCCAGCCTCATTGCGATGGTGCTGCGATCCTAGTGATCGCAAGAAAATGATTCCCCTCAACGGAATCGTGGTCCACAATAAGATTGCGTGTCGAAATCCACCCATATAACAGGTACTTTAAAATCCTCCTCCAACGTGCATGGAGTTGTTCAGGTGCGAGTAGCTGAGGAGAAAAGGGTCTCTGCACCATATTGTGACCGAAGCATTACTTAGAGTAATCGTGGTTCGCCGTAATGTGCCGAGTTTGGATGCCGGACGATGCGCGTCATAGTGACCGGCTTTGCTAAACGTCAATTAATTGTCACATGGCGTCCAACATTTTCTGGTTGTCCAGCAGCTTACGTTTGATGATGTTCCGCTCGGATTCAGGCACAGCAGAACATATAACAGTCAGAGAAGTATGATGTTGTCCAGCTTTCTTCTTTTTTGGAGAATTGTGTGGTTGTTTTCTTTAGTCGGATGACAAGTGGCATAGTAGTACTTTGGAAGTGTTTGTGACCCTAATAGCTCCTGGTTTGGCAGCAATGGAAGCTGTGCTGGATGGTACCTCTGTCAGGTAGGTAGCAAAATGGATGCGCATGATGATGCCCTCCAAGCGGTGTTGAATGTACCGCGTGGCTCTGATGAATTATGCTGTCCGAGCTATTCATTAGGAGCGGAAGGGCATATCGTGACAAAAGTCAGTGTGGTTAGGTTGAACTATCCTTGGTCACTGCTCTCAATCCTAGTTGCTCTGTTCCGAATTAGCATTTGATGTAAAAAAAAATTTGAGGCTCTGATTTCTCTGGGGCAACTTAAGATGGTCCGACGGCAGCTGCTCTCTCTACAATATCTTCCGGTCTATTACACTTCTATAGCAGCAGGGATATACATCTGACTATTGGAATAGCCGTATAGTATAGGCTGAACCAACCGGTATTGGGCCTGTTATTTTGTTTCTTTACCTCGGTTAGGCTAAGGCGAAAGCACAACAGCTATCGCACAACAGGTAGAGCTTGCTGTTCTGGTTCATACCTTCTTAAAACGGTCTCCCCAATTAACGTCGCTTGTAGCGCTTTAGGCATAGCTTTCCGTGGGCAGGCAGTACATGCCATGATGATGGCCAATACAGTTAATTTCCCGGAAGTGTCGTTTGCTGCAAGGTCTATTTGAGCAGTCACTGTGGTAGTGACGCTCATACACGTTTGCTGAATGTTCTGTGGGCTAAGCGGTGACGTAACCAACGTTCGAGACACACGCGGATTTCAAGTTAAGTCAACTGAAGCAAACTTTGTGTACCAAAATAGGCACACTTCAAACGAACAAACGAGGCTCGTAGGCAGCTAAACTCCGGCAGGTTGTGTCGGCTTCATACTGAGAAATATCTGGCGAAGAAATTTACAGTGGAACCGCTAAAAAAAATTTTCCGCGGTAAAATTGTCTGTTATGTCCACAAAGAACGGACTATTGCCGACGTTTAGCGAGTTAGTAGACAGTTGCTGAGAGGTCAGCTCGCTGAATTTACGATTTGGGATCGGATATTTCCGGGACCATTATTCTTTGCTGTGTCGCTATTACGGGGTAAGGTATTCCAGATGAGGTCTCGAATATACTTGGATACCAAACTCGCTAGCCGAAAGCGCACGCAGTCATGGTTTTCTTCACCAGCGAGAATGAGTTGAAGTTGATTGTGTTTGCTCGCCATCAAGTCGGTTGCCAGAAATGACAAAAACTATCCGTTGCGTTTCTGCGACATAACAGTTAGTCGTAAAACCTTATTATGTTTATGGAAACAACAATCCTTTAATACATTTGGAGCTCGTAATGGTGGAAAATAAACGACTTCATTTAGCCGATACGCAGTGTTCTTCCTTCACATGCTTTTCTTTTGACTGATCCCCATTTGTAACGTTTGTGCCAGGCTCTATCACAAGCGTGCCAGCCGTTCGGATCTTCTCGCTATACGCAGGAGTAGCAGTTGTATTCAATTTCCTTCTGCAGCTGTCAGCATTCGTTGCTCTCATGACGCTGGACGCTAGACGCAGAATGGTAAGTTTGCTGTTACGTTTCGCTCCACAAGCATTTGAAGTATCCACTTAAACATTTACTGCATATGGATAAGGAGATCCACACTTTGGGTCTACCAATATCAGTATGTACTTCTTGCCAAAGCAGTCAGGCTAATTTATTTTCCGAACATATAGTGCGACGTTCAGGTCTGTTTTAAAGGTGTACGAGTATGTGATCGAGTATTAGAATGATCGAGAAACTCAGTTGAAAGCATGTGGTTATAAGCATCATCCTTATTGTCACCATCATGACCCCCAGAGGAAACAATAACAACAGTACAGCGGTACTTTGCAATCGTGCCAAGTTTAGCAACCGCAGGACAAAAGGAAACTAACGCCTATAATGTGATGTATCGTAATTTATTACTCCTTTACTTTTGATGATTACGTCGTCTACAATAAATCAGAACGCTGTTGTGTAATGCCACCAACTCGGTCATATTCTTCTTGGCAAGAGATGTGCACAGTAAAGCTGATCCTTTATGTTCCTTCTTCCTCGTCTACGCTATCGAATGCTTTTATTGGAACATGCATCAGTTGCACGGACGACGTTTGTCCTGTTAATTGTAAACAAACGACAATATCCCTCGTTCGTTCAAATGTTCTCTCTATCGCTGGCAAGCAGTTGGGTCAGTCTGCTGGACTTTGCATTTCAGTGCTCTATCTATGGGTTCGTAAAGATGTCTAAACAGAATTTGTTTGCGCGCACATAGCTCATCCGTAAATGCGATTTTTGACGGACATATTGGTTTCTAACATGTGGCTGCTGATGTAATTTGACCAAATGCCAGGTGCCTGACGGATCGAACTACACACTCATTTAACTAGCATGACTCTATTCCGTGAAACGGATTATCGAAAATGACCTTTGTGTATAGGTGTTGCTAACCCGAAAACACTGTGGGTGGGCAACACCCAAATCCCATATATCAGCTGCAGTCCTAGTGATCGAATTGACTAAGGTTCGCTTCAATGCGAGTCACGGTCCACAATCCACCCGCAGTCCAATCACACAAGGCGTACCACAAAATAACCCCCAATCAGCTCTTCGGGTTTCTTCCTCTAGTTCCTAGTCAAATCATGAGATGATTCGTTATTTCGGAAACTGTGAGTTCCGTTGCCTTAGCAGTGTTCATCTTCACAGGAACCGTGAATATGACAAATAATCATTCACTTCGCTTGTGGATTATTCCTCCAACTTGGGCGGTTAGTATAGTTATTGGTCTGTCGGCTGACCACTGGGAACGTAAAAGGGAAGAGTGACAAGTGTGGCGTCGAGCGCACATGCAGTCGTATAGACGCGTGTGCCAAACACAAAGTGTCCATTGGGCGTTTTGAGAATACAGAGAACGCGTTCCGTTTCCTTCAGGCATGTATTGGTGCGGCACGTAATGGGTTTCTGGACCAGGTTTCTCCGACTGATCGTATTTTGGCCGACGTATGAATAGTATGGAATGGCGGATTGATAGCGAACTCAGACGTACCTACTTCATCGTGTTTTGTGGCTTAAATCAATCGCACAATGTGGGTAATCCATCTGGCAGCGTTTGGTACAGAAACTCAGCAACTATTGGCTAGAGTTATGTTAATCAGTGTCACGTAGGGCGATGGTGCGCTTTGGATATAATTTGATATCGGCAAGTAACAGCTTGCAAGATCTATCGACGGACGTGGTTTTCTTGATGAGGGAGTTGATTCCGCCATAGATTCATTTGACTGAGCAAGCGTATGGTGTGCGCACTGCTACTTATCAGGACAGCGAAAATTAATTCACTTTCACCCCATCACCTAGAAGGATATATCTGTGATGATTCCGTTCGTTTTTGATCTACTACGTGCGGTGACAATTCAACGCCTAACAGGGATTGACCTCTAAAACATCCCTCGTTTGTCGTGACCAGCTTCTCATTTTTCTAAAAGTGCTTCGCTAATTATTTGCAAATTCGCTCAGCTTCACGAGGCTTTTGTGTCCAAAACGAAATGCTGACACCAAAAAATCCCAACCCCTTTTCCAAAACCCTTTTGAAATCATGAGTTCTAGATTGGTTCAAGCATATTTTATGAGGTCGCTCTCGCACAAAGTTAGACATAGCAGTGCGGGACCGGGCGTCACTTTCATCCAAAAATATTAAGTAGTGATTTTTACCTCTCTGTCATGGGACAGAATGGCTGATTTCACGTTCTGATATGACTCTAAAGAGATTCATTTGCAAATAATTACAGCGCAATTAATTTTTCTGTCCCTAAGAGACTGAGTAAATAACATAAACGACAGTTTTCCGGAGATCCGTTGCTTATACACTCAATGGTTCTCCAACTGCCCAAAGAAACAGATTAAACTTCAATGTTTTACATTCGCAGGTTTTGTGGTTTGTATTTACAGTATAAAGATAACATAAAATTTCTTGGACATTAACGTTAATTCGCACCCGTTGACGAGTAAGTCGCAATAGACTGGCAACTTGCAAATTATAACGCAGCTCTACACAGGGCAGTCGCGGAAATGTGCATTCCCCAATCGGGCAAAACGCGCGTCTGGTGCATTATCGAATAAGGAGTATGCAATGTAGCTTGTGAGCTGCTGGGACGAACAAATTAAAACATTACATGATGCATATTTTCGTCTGATTGCAAGCTTATCAATATGACTTTCGCACTGTTCCTTTTAGTAGTAGTAGTAGTAGTAGTAGTAGTAGTGAATATATTTTGATGTATGCTCATATTTTGTGGTCATACTGTTGTGGCGGTCGGTGGGAATTCTTATATCTTACTTGTCTTTGTTCTAGGATACGAATACACAAAAAACAGCTGCTACATTGCATATGGCATCCACTAGGTTGCGTTTGTCTAAAACATTGCTTGCCCTGTGCTATCTTAGATGGCGCACTGATATACTAATATATTTGTCCTACACAGGATAACCGTTTTACACCGTATACTTGTTCAATGTTTGAGGAGAATGCAACAGAAAAAGCACGAATGCTTAGGATATAGTGAGTTGACCATCAAGCACTACGTCTGTGGTCTCACTCCCAGCTTCGGTATTGCAAACAAAGACAGAACCGGCCATCCTATTGCAAATCAACTGCAGTGTTTCTGAACCCAGTGCGAAATGAACAATGAACAATGATTTATAACGGGTAAAAAAGCAGGTGCTTGACATGTCCCGTAGGGTGTATAGCGTGATACAAAGATAGCGAAGGGATAATGGAGTCTTCAGTTCGGGCGCTTACAGATGTACCTGCACTGTCGTATAGAGGGAGTTTGAAATGACAATGTACTCACACAAAGCAACGGGGGAGTGGTTATTTTTCACATCATTGGCGAGAAAAATAAAAAAGGTAGCAACGACAACGCTTACTCGTGTGCAACAATCTTGGGTCAACAGGATACAGTAATCCAGTTTCTGTAGTAGTAGCGTTTATCAAATTTCGTGCAAGGAGTTTGGAATGACTCATTCTCGAGTAGGGTTATGGCACTATCCCCTGTCTGTTGTGCATTAGTGACAGCATCTGGTGATCATGAGCTATAGCACGTAGTGTAAATGTGACAGGGTATTGTCAAGGCGTTTTTTGAAAAGGGATAGGGTGGGTGCATTAATTACATGTTCTGGGAGGGCGTTCCAAGGCTGTGCCACTCGAATGGAGAAATAGTTTCGCCGACATTCCAGGCGGCTATACTGCGTGACTAAATTAAACTGGTGACCTCTTAGCGGGGTGTTTTGACTGAGTATTAGGAGGGAATGGCATGGGTTGTTGGGGTCTCTCAGGATTAGGTACACCATCATGAGATCGCCCCTTAGATGCCGATAACATCCACTGTATATTTTGAGGATCTTCAGCCTGAGTGGGTAGGGGAGGCTGGTCAAACCTCTGACGCTTTTCGTTGCCCTACGTTGTGCAGTATCGAGCGCGGTGAGATGGTGCTTGAGCCAGGGTTGCCACGTTTGAATAGCGCACTCCGCGTGCGGCCTCACGTACGCACTAAGCCTTTTTGGAAAGACAAAAAGGTCAAACTTCCCGAAGTCTGTACGAAGAAGGCCGAGCTACTGGCTCGCTTTCTTAGCTACCGGGGTCAAACTCCTTGCTATTGATCTGCATGCTCTGTACTCCTGGAGTGCCTCAGTGAAAGTCGTTCCAGGAGCGACTGTATCATTTTTCGGTGCACAGACAGCTGGTACTTGTTCTCTAGGCTCTCGGAGGCTTAAAGAGACACATACTGGAACTATTCTTTATCATCATGTAACTTTCAAACGCCTGTTTCATAATCCGGCATATTATCTGTATGAGAAATCAATGCCGTAAGGTGCAAAGGACAGCGGCGATTGAACATCCCTATGTGTTCAAACGAGGACGAAGCTGGCCGTAGGATATTTGTGTTGGATGGAGCAATACCAAAACACCTCCATTTTTGATACCGTCGTTGCTTTCGGAATAACCCATGTCTACTTCAATTGAACCGTGGTCTCAATAGAGATAGCATGTCGCTATCCAACCACATGGCAAGTACTAAAAATCCAACTTTGAATTCCTTACGGCTGTGCCAAGCGTTGCTCATAGATCTCATTGACATAGTAATTATAGCGCCTGCCGTTACCTGCTAGATTCAGAGTTCCGCTACAACTCATGCTATATCCACCTAATTAGTTTAAACGAAGACAAAGCGTATCAGGGGATGTCAACGTTGGAGGGAAGCAATACAACAACACCTCCATCCATATGTCCATTTCTGCACAGAACAACTATGGTGCTCTTTCACCTTGTCGCGTTTTTCTACTCAATAGGCAATTAATGGCTTTGTCCGCTGAGTAATGTACATTTGTGTGAATGTTGAAAGCTATTCGCCTAATACTCCACTCAGAGTTTTGCGCAACAGCTGTTTCCAGTTAAAATATTTGGGAGAAAATTATCGTGAATCAACAGTTTAAAAGACCACTTGGTTTAACTGTGGCCTGACCAATCTTACAAACACCATCATAGC